CGTCATTGATGTACGGAATAAATCCTTGAGAATTTTTGAAGAAACTTTGAGAATTTGACAACAAACTATATAATTCAAATCAGAATCACTAGTAGAATACTCGATTCAATGAATTAAGTGGAGAATCGAATCACAGACTAAGATCTAGACAATTTTTCACTTTCAAAAAGTGCGGAAACTTTTGAATCAAAAAGTTGATTCAAAAACCTTTTGAACAATGTGAAAATCAGATCAGAGATATGATTCCTGCTCTGATACCAATTGATGAAACAAATAATCGAGTATTGAATTAATCAGAGTATGAATTCAAGTAAGAATGCGAGATTTAGACACAGGATGTAAATATGATCTTGTTTCAGCTCTATTACGCTCTCAAGTTTTACAGAGTAGAAATGACAATTCTGTAAAGACTCGTTTCTAAGACTCTAGTAAACACTCCTATTTATAGGAGAGGAAAGCGTACACAAAATATACTAAGGACTAAGCGTTAAGCTTCGAATATAATTCCCTAGTAAAATAGATTACAAAATGTTCGAAGACACCAAAACATACTTCGACTAATTACAACATTTAGACCCTTACACTGTAATTTTAAAAGTGAACACTATGTTTCGCAATGTTGTAAGTTTTAGAAACACAGATTATAAAACTAATTTGAAATAAAATAAACAAACGAGGTGTGTTGGAAATTTAGGAATTAGAGATATCTTAGAAACATGTGTGAATTAGAAAGTTGCAGAAATATCATATTGGATTTCAAGAAGACACATCTAAGTAAAGTACAGTGCCTAGATGAGAAAGTGGTCAAAAGAGCCAAAACAAAAGTGGTTTGAAAGATCCGGTGAAGCTTTTACACATAATATGAACTTCAATGTCAAATGTTAAAGTTTTATATCATAGAGTTTAAACACTTTTATAAAAGAAAATGTTTCTAAGTTTTTCGAAAACATGCCAAAATGGTAAGCAAGGTTTAAAATGGTTTATATGCGCTTAAAAGCACATTCATCCATTGAAATGGATTTGAAATGAAATTGAAATAGCAAGGTGAAAACCAATATTGGTTAAATTGAGTTTTGAAGGAAAGTAATAAGTAGTTTTCTTCTATCTTATTTAAATGTACTTAGTATATATGGAAACCATATCCAAACACTTTTTCCTAAAATTCGTTTTGATACCGCATAAGCTAATAAGTAATTTTACAAAAAAGTATAAGTTTTTAAATAACATCCCCTAAGCCGTTCTTTCAAGATTAGCTCAAAGAAGAAACAACGATATATAGATGTCCAGATTAATTGCTTAGTCTATTAATTAAGTAAAAAAGAAACAGCCCCTTTATTGGATTTAATATACTTAATATGCCGTTTGTTTTATTTTCACACGCATATATGTGATATGTGTTTCAGCCATCGAAAAATTGGGCTAAAAAGATACAGGATGAGTGGAGGATTCTTGAGAAAGACTTGCCTAGTATGTTTCTATATATGTATGTCTCACAAATTGAAATTGATTAATTTATTACAAGTAGAAATGAATAGAAGAGATGCTTTGTTTTATACAGACAAAATATTTGTTAGGGCATATGAATCAAGGATGGATCTTTTAAGAGCTGTAATTATTGGAGCATAGGGTACCCCATATCATGATGGCCTCTTCTTCTTCGATGTCTGTTTTCCAAGAAGCTATCCTAACACCCCACATGTATGTCTTGTCTTGTCTTGTCTTGTCTTATCTTGTCTTCCTTCTTCTTCAATTCTTAATGCCATATATATTATATATGTTATGTGATTGATGTTGATAGATTTGAATGATTATTTATTTCAGCTTGTGCATTATCACTCTGGTGGCCTTCATATCAATCTGAATCTCTACGATTGTGGTTACGTCTGCTTAAGCCTTTAGAACACATTGGATGGTGGCAAAAAGGAGATGTGGATCCCTGGGACCTCAACCATGCTCCAAGTCCTGGTGTCTATACAAGGTCTCATCCTCAACGCAAAGTCTTACTTCAATGAACCTGGATATGCAAAAACAAGTGGGTCCGTGAATGGGGAAAAAAGTTCCATACAATACAATGAATCCACTCTCATCTTATCACTCAAAACCATGGTGTATACCATGAAAAAACCACCCAAGATAATGTAAAAAAAATACATTTTCACATTTTTTTTCTTTTAAGAGTACGTTGCATGTTGGTTAATATTTGGTTTGTTGGATGGTGTAGAACTTTGAGGATTTGGTGAGTGGGCATTTTGGAAAGCGTGTGTGTGATATTTTGATGGCGTGTAAGGCGTATACAGAAGGTGTGCAAGTTGGGTGTCTTGTGAGAGGAGGTGTACAGGATGTGGATGAGGGTAATAATGGCATCAGTTGTTCGGATAAATTTAAAGGTGAAGTGGTTGCATATGTTAAGACGCTTGTGGCTACTTTTAAAAGCATTGGAGCTAAAGAAGAGGAGTTTATTTGGTTAAGTGAAAAGGAAATCCTTCCATCCCATGCACCTGCACCTTTTACTAGTTCCCGAATTTTCACAAAGAAAAAAAAAGTAAGGAGAGAAAAGAAGAGAAAGGAAAGGAAAAAAAAATTGTGTTTAAAAAGGAAAATTAAGCATTTTGCTCATTTCTCTTCAAATCCTTTAAAATTGGAAGGAAATTTAGGAGGGAAAGTGATCATTTCACTTCCTTCCACTTTCATCCTTTAATGAAACTCAGGAACACAAAAATCTTTTACTTTTTTCTCATTTCCATCTATTTCCCTTATTTTATCTTGTTAAGTTGAACTCAGAATCATTATTGGTGAAAGAAAAGATATGGGATTTTGATAGGACTAAGATATTATTTTTTTATTTTGGATTTTGGATTTGGATGTTTTATGTTTTCAGATTTTATTCCTTTACCCCATTAGTTAGTATAATGCTCTATGTATATAGCGTGTGTGGATTCTTTCACCAACTTTTTCTAATGTTAATGATTTAAGTACCATGTTCTTGTGATTCGTGAAGACTTGTTGAAATATCTATGTATCTTTTTAAAGAATCCTATTTAGGCCATATGACAATTTTTCTATACCACAGTTTAAGTACCATGTTCATTTGTCATTCTTATATGCATCTGTTATCCTGCTCACTCCAAAAACCTTTTCCAATCCTGATTTTATCCTCCTTTACAAAACTAGGTCTTAAAACCGGTGTAAAACTCGTGTACTACACGGGTTGATTAAAAAAAATATTAAATAGCAAACTCTAAATAATAAGTATTTTTTAAAATAAATTTTCAAAAAATCTACTATAATAAATGAAGATTGACATGTGACGAAATTGATTTTCATTTATTATATTTATTATAGTAGATTGCATAGAAATTGTATTAGATAAAGACTTTCCATGCTCAACCCTAAAAATCAGCCACTTAATTAGTGATATGAGAGAATTTGCAATTTGAATTATGCCTTTCTTATTTGATTACCCAAGAAACCAGGAACCGATTCAGCATTTTTTTTTAATAATTTGAAAGCTACGCTGCTGGGAATATTAGGAGGAACAAACTATGTTGTAGACTTTGTTTAATGTATTGGATTTAATCCTAATTCTCCCTGGAAACATGTGGTTTGATTTTATGCTCACTCATGGCTGATTTGGTTATCTTCTGTCAATGCCAACTCTATCTACAGCCACCACTATTCAACTTGTTCTCTATCTTTTGCTGATCGGTAAGACTTTCTCAGTTTGTACTTATCTTTTTTAAGGCTTCAATTTTAACCAAAAAATGTGTTCATGGAATTGATTACGTGGTTCAATAGATTTGAATGTGCACAACAACCATTTGATAAAATGTCCACATGAATTTTGAGTGTAGTTTTACTTTGAGTTTGCTCCACATTGTTTCTACAAGTTTCCTTGAGATAATCATATTTTTTTTTCCGGAGGTACACACTTAAAATATTTAATTAGATTAAATTCAGAACAAGGTTTTGAAAACCGGACCGGAGACCGAACCGGCCGTCTTACTGGTTCGATAGTTCAAGTGGTCCAACCGGTCAGACCGGTCTCAAAAACCGGAAAAACCGGATGATGTCATAATTATATTTAATTATATAAAAATACAAAAAATGAAAAAAATAAATATTTTTTAAAATTTTCGGTTTTTACCGGTTTTCACCGGTTCACATGAATACCGGTTTTTTGTCCTTTAAGAACCGGTTCCAGTTGAACCGGTCGAACCAGCCGCTCCGGTCCGGTTTTCAAAACAAGGATTCTGAATTTGTCTTGGATAAACATAGTTGTGCGTGAATTATTTAATGTATTTTTGACCAGGAGGATGAAAGGTGGATTAATTTGACATGGTTCTGATGGAAGTCCTCATCATATCGGTAAGTTCTTTTTTGTTTCAAATTTATGCACATTTTGGTTATGGTAATATTTTTTATGGAGTTAAACATGTTTCCTTTATCCTTAGTATCGATGAATTATGGCTTCATTTTTAGTGGTTATGAAAAGTAGAACTAAATGCAACTTTAGTCGAAGGGAAACAGCTGTGCCAACAATTCTTAGATAGAGTCTTGATATTTTTTTCATGATTTATAAGAGGCTTGGAGTTTCTGCTCATGTTGTTTATGCAGTAGACCCTGTATCACACACACAACTTTTGAGTTTGTTGAAGGTCCAACCACCAAAGATATATTCCTTGAATTTTGATTAAAAGGAGTCGTTGAAGATGTAATTCTTATAACACCATATACATTTTATAGTTATGCACCATGTAACTCAACTTACAAAATATTACACGTGCTTTATTAGTTTTATGCTGAAGACGGTGAGCCAAGAACAAAAGTTAGACTAGTGACAGATTACTGATAGAATCGGTGACAATTTTTGTTTGATTGACTTTATAACAAATATCAACTTATCTATATAAATAATTATATTTAGGGCCCATTTTTACTTTTCGCCTAAGGCTTTCAAAATCAATAGACCGGCGACTGTGATATTGAATATAACTAACAACAATATCCAAAGTGTTTTTGGGCAAATGTGTTTTTTGACTTATGGTGGTGACAAGATGAGTTTCAAAAAAAAAAGTTTGGAACAACTTTTGTGATGGCAAACAACTTTATAATTATAAAATGACTAAAAATGATATGGAAAGAAATGAGATAAATAAAAAAAAAAGCAAGAGAGTTCATGAAGGGTGCTTTTGTCATTTTTAGTTTTAAAGGTCATAAGCACTTCAAAAAATCAGGATCCCTAACTTTTGGAAACGCCATTTAAAGACATGTCAAAATGTCACTTTTAAAATCACTTAGGCAATAGCAAACATTTTTTTAGATTTATTGACTTTTTGAAAAACTAATAAGTCAATAAGTTATTTTAAAAATCAACCCCAAACATCCTTAACAATGATTGATGAGAATTGGGGTTGAAGATCTTAAATTGGATTTTTCGAATGCAAGGACAAGAGTGATGAAGTAGCTGTGAAGTAAATGGATAAAGAAAATAAGCATGAATATTTTTGGTTTTTTTGTCATTAAGGGAGCTATTGTCCTTTTTAGTTTAAAAGGCCATAAATACTTCAAAAAATCGGGACCCCTAACTTTTGGAAACTCCATTTAAAAGCATGTCAAAAAGTCATTTTCAAAATTAGCCGATAAGTTATTTTGAAAATCAATCCCAAACATCCTTAGCAATGATTGATGGAAATTGGGGTTGGAGATCTTAAATTGAATTGTTAGAATGCAAGGACAAGTGTGTGATGAAGTAGACGTGAAGTAAATGGATAGAGAAAATAAACATGAATATTTCTGGATTTTTGTCATTTAAATCTATACATGAACGATTATCGCCAACTTATAATATTTTTTTGAGCAATCAGGCAAAATTACATAAATGGTCTTTGTGCTTTAAAAAAACCATTATATATATATATATAT